TTTGTGTGTGTGTGTGTGTGTGTGTGTGTATGTGTGTGTTATTAATTAAATAATTAATTATTATTGACATGGGAAGTAAATACAGATATCAGATGACAGATATTGGCAAGTGTTTTGTCTATGGTCTGGGGGGTCCAATTTCGCTATACGAAAGTGTAGTGACAAATAAAGGCTTGATTGATTGATTGATTGAAATAACATTACAGCAGTTACTACAACTGTTTTTGAACTATACTATAGTAAACTACACTGTACACATTATATTATCTTCAACTCTTCATTAATGAACACTCCAGCATACTGTAGAATAAACTGTAGTGCACTGATCAGCTGTAATAGTGTACTTTACTGTGGTGTATTGCAGTATAATATAGGCTATAGTTGATGAACACTGAGTTTACTACAGTGTTTAATATAAATGTCTATGGTATATTTTGCAATCTGAGTATTTGCACCTTTAATAAGCCATTAAATGAATCAGTTTTCCCCTAAATTATGACTTAATCCATTATTGTATACAGTATAACTGTAGTGTCGATGGCTGATCTGAATGCAGAGTGAAGCACACCACATCAGCACACTCTCCTCGTCTCGTCTTCGCCCCTGACACACCGCACACACCGCACACTCTTACATTGTTCAGATCTACTCACATCCCTTTGGATCCGTATTTGTTGTAGAACTCCATGTGGTTGCACGCCTGGATCCAGCCGACCGTCCAGCTCTCCTTGCCGGCAACCGGCGGCACCAGCACCCGGGCGGAGGCGCGGAAGTACGGCGTGCGGTAGCGCAGCACCACGCTGGAGGACTCGTCGATGCTGGTGGGGTTCGAGTCGATGGAGGAGTTGACCTCCAGAACCATGATGCTGTCCCGAAAACTCTTGGGTTTGCATCTGATGCTCTGAATGCAGCCCATCACAAGCAGCACCCGCGGCCACAAGAACATCAACCCGCGGCGGAGCGCGCACTACAGCCGGACCCTCAGAAGAGCGCGCACTAGACGAGCCCTCACACTTGACGATGACCCTCACAATAATGCACACTACACTCCTTAGAATGAGTGCACACAACAGAAGGGATGACCCCCCAGAATCATGCACACTAGACACTGTAGAATTAGTGCACACTTGACAAGGGATGACCCATAATGTACACTAGACAAGGGATAACCCTTAGAAGTATGCACACTTTAGAAGAGATGACCCTAGAAATAATGCACACTACACACTTTAGAATAAGTGCACGTTGCACAAGGGATGACCCTCAGAATAATGCACACTATACAAGGAATAACCCTCAGTATAACGCACACTAGACAAGGCATGGCCATCAAAATATTGCACACTACACACTTTGAATAACGCACACTACACACGGGCTGACACTCAGAATAACGCAGACTAGACGCGGTTTGAAGGACGCGACGCGCGCGCGCACGCTGAATAAACCACGTACGCGTCGCGCTTCTCCCGATGAAAAGAAGAATCTTGCGACGCAGAACAACAACAGAAAAGAAAAGAAAAGAAATAAAAAGAGAGTGTTCGTCAACTTTCCGTCATTGGCGGGCCGCGGTGGCGCTCACGCGTAATGCTGTCCGCGCGCATCACCAAACGGGCATTTCCGCGTCATAACCCCGGCTCACATCATAAATCCAGCGGCTCTGCACACTGCAGGCATGGTGCACGCACAACAGATGATGTTATCCTCCAAACAGAAGTGCAGTGTGTCTGCCAGAAGTGTTTTTCCGCGAGTTCGTCCTTGAGCTTCACTTGCTCACTTTCTGGGGCACTTGTGAGTGCGCATCCAGCCGGTGAACTTCCTCAGCATTCACAAATGAACGAGTCCGCTGTCATGAGCACTCGTGCCGGGATGAGGAGCCCATGACAGGAGCCTCTCCATCACTTCTAATAATCCAGCAGCACCTTCAGCATCATCATCATCATCATCACCACCGCATCAGCCGCAGCTGCTCGACTCGAGCGCGAGTGACGTCACTTCCGCCCCGCGGCGCGCTCTTCATGGGGTCTGTAGTGTTGTGCCCTGTGCTACATTACTCAGAACAGTACACATTTACTCGAGTGAAAGTACTGCTAAATCTAATTAAAATAACGTACATAAAAATATGACATACAAAATATGAATGAACTAGTTATTCTCACGAGTAAAAACAAACATTTAGGAGTAAGTGTAGCTAATAAACAATTTAAAAATACTTACAGTGCAGAGAGAAACACTTAAAACTCATCTTAAATGGATTATAACAATACAGTGGTAACTTAGAATGAGTGATAAAGTATTAAAGTATCTGAATTAATCTGTTGTGGTGATTCTACAGTTGCTATGGTAAAACAACAACAATAGTAACGTTTTCGAATTAATCTGTTGTTGTGATTGTAAAGTTGCTATGGTAACACAAGAACCACAGTAGTTGATCTGTTTTGGTGAATCTACAGTTGCTATGGTAACACAGCCACTATAGTAATCGGTCTGTTGTGGTGATTCTACGGTTGCTATGGGAACACAACAATTTTATTAATCGATCTGTTGTTGTTATTCTACAGTTGCTACGGAAACAAAACACCCACAGTTATTGATCTATTGTGGTAATTCTACAGTTGCTATGGTAACAAGTACTGTAATAATAAACCTGTTGTGGTGATTCTACAGTTTCTATGGTAACACAACAACTAAAGTAATCGATCTGTTGTGGTGATTCTACAGTTGCTATGGTAACACAACAACTATAGTAATATAAACAACAAAATACTGTGCAAACGTTTCTGTACAGCATATATTATACTAGAATACACCACAGTTTACTGTAGTAAAAACTGAAGTACACTACAGTATTTATTAGTTGATCAGTTCACTGTAGTTGATACTACAGTATGCTGGAGCATTCACTAACAAAGTGCTGTAAACACTATTATATATACAGATCTGTGTATAATAGTATTTATATACAGATGTTTAGTAAAAAAAACTGTTTAATTTTGTTCTTCAGTTATCGTGTTCAGTAAAATATAGTACACAAAATTGTACATTATACAGTTTTTTTATTTAAAAACTTCAGGTCTTGACTTATGCTTATTTACTGTATTTCTCTATTCTCTCTCTGTTTTTGTCTGTGTATATACAATTGTTTTTGTATATAGTCTATTTTATATATATATATA